TTTATTGCTCCATAGGCCGTTTGTATGTTTCTTACTCTAACTAATTGTAAGGCTAAGCCAACTTGAAAACGATACCTCTGAATAGAAGTTACGAGACAAGTTAAACTGTTTAGTGCGAAACCAAAAAATAGCAAAATATATGCTACCGTTTGAATTATATGAATTTGCGCATGTTTATCTCAAGGTTCCGCCTTCGAAGATATATTGCACCTCTAGATCGTTCGCAGAAAGGTCAGGCATGCCTGATGAAAGTTAAAAACCGTTCTAACAGCCTCATGAATCGCAAAGTAAAAGGTTCGAACGATACCGTACCGTGATATATCGTAAATGACGTTGAAGTTCAAAGAGTAGAAAAGTGGGTGTTAGAAATGTTGCCGAACAATTATTTGTCCATCAAATAGACATTAGTATGTCTACCTATTTCCGGCCAAAATACTAATGGAACCTTTTCTTAAAAAGTTACTGTGGTACGTGTGAATTGAACTTGGAACTCTACAAGTAGATGAACTGTTATTTGATTGTACAGTAAGTTGTAGTATATTGGATTTGTTGTTGAGAGGCATTTTACACCGAGTAATGGGGGGGGGCTATCGTTGCCAATCACCCGTTCTTTCTGTTTAACACGTTCAACGCAACTGCCGACTATTGGCGACACTATGTGCACTCCGTCGCCATAGGGCGACGCGTGTGGTCCAATGGTGCTTCAGATCAGGTGGATCGCTAGTATAGTTCGGACGGGTGAATAGGCATACAGGTTAGGCATTTTTGAGAACTTTTACGTACGCGGTTTGTCCTAAATTCTACCAGTAGCGCCAGTGTCGCCATCTGGCGACCAACAAAATTTGTATCCAGGGAAGAAAATATTCGCTAATCTCTTTTAGTATCATTTAAAGCAATTTTCAGGTAAAAAAATTAAAATCCCCATTGGCCCCTGACTACATGTAACAACATTTTACTGGCAGCGAACGTGTTAAGGCAATATTACTCCTGCGGGTTATGTTGATGATGTCCTACAAACCACTTTACTGCCGTATGACGAGGGCCGTCCACACGTCCTTTTTCAGCAAGACAACGCATGTCCCCACATTTAAATCCCATCGAACATGTGTGGGTTTATGATGGGGAGAAGACTATTCACTTTGCACCATCCGCTAAAGACTCTGCCACAGCTAATCCACGATGTTCGATTTACTTAGAAAAATATAAATTTTTCTCTTATTACTTGTCAATAAAATTTCGTGAGAATGTTATCGTTTCATTCTTGATGTAAGACTACCTCATTGCCAAAAAATCAAGTTGAACAATTTTTTTTTCTGGGTGTAACATTTCTAATGTCACTGAGTATATTTAAGGTTATCGACACATTACTTTTTCCAGGATATCCTTCTTTTATTAGAACTTTAAAAAAATGCGTGGTAGCCGGGTACTTGGGATGCTGGGATAGCTATTAGTATAACCGTGATTAACAACGATTTATAAAAATAGCCCAAACTTCTACCGACGATAGTGTGACTAGAGACCACTGAATACAAATTATAAATGATGAATATTTACTACTGAGTAGTTGTGTTTGTCTTCACTTACTCACGTCTAAGGTCAAGACCTCTTTTCGACACCAATCTAATATGATTTCAGATCACGCCGAAAAAGACACTTTAAACTATTAAATGCTTGATTAAAAAATAATAAATAAATCCAATAACCGAAAAACAGTAGCATCAAAGTTCAAAATAGCATTATAGGTACTGAAGCTCTAGAACTTTTAAAACACTGGAAAAAAAGTGATGGAATATTTTGTAATTTAAAAAATACAGTTTTACTTCTAAATTCACGACCTAGAGTCTTTTAACAATATGGAGTTAGGTAATTTGACATGCTCAAAAAAATCGGAACAATGCATGCCCAAATTGTGAACTTTTTTGTTTGACAATTTTTGCTGTATCTCTAAAAATAAAGCAGTGGGAGTATTCAAAGGTTTCCGTAAAAAACACCCTGTATCTTCGAAACGGCTGAGTCGATTTTAACAAACTGGGGTAGTTGAAAAGAGCTCGGGCTTACAAATGTTATAATATTTGAAGTTTTGTTAGTTTTAAATGTGACCGCTAGAGGTCTTTATTTGACATTCCCACAGAAATGGTTAATTTTCTCAAAAAAAATTAAATATTTCGGTATTATTTTTTTATGAAAAAGTAGCTAAAACAAGGTCGCGAAAACCGCATCTCGATATATTGTTGGTGGCTTCATCGGTCCAATGAAATTGGAATAAATATTTTTTGTAAGGTTAATATAGTGGTAGTAACAGAAACATCACTTTTTTAGATTCAATATTGCAGTTACGCCCCCTACCGGCCATTTCAGGAATATTTTTCAGGTTTTTCTCTTGGCCGCTTTAGTTAGATCTTTTTTGCCGCAAGCCTCTACGATGGATAGGTACCCAGATACAGTACCTCGCATTCTTAGTTGGCCACCCTGTATACAAAAAAATTTGGACACGTAAAATTTGAAATGCAGTACAATTTAGGTTAGATAGTACTTTTCATGGAAATGTCTCTTGAAGAATATAGTTCTGGTTAACTTATAAATAATTATTATTATTATAACTAGAGTGTGATAGAATTGGCCAGATACTGACATGATTATAATAACTCAAGATTAAAACGACATATATAAAATTTTTACCATAAAATAAATGAACCGTATAAGAAAATAATGAAGAGACATTAGTAAAATTCTCCGAAATGATGTAAAATAACATAAATGGACAATTTATATAGCATGATAATAAAAATAATCATTATATATTGACAGTCAAATTATATATGCCATAAATTAGAATATCGCAAATATGCTCAAGGTCATACTATGGCTCGATAAGCATATACATAGAAACATATTCCACATGATGGGGTGATTCACTGATTCTTTCTTCAAATATAGCGGAATACATTTTTGTTTTTTTTTTAAGTTTTACTGTGAACACTATTACGTCTGTAATATTGTAGGGGAATCCATGTTATTGCTCATGGAGTGGGAGTGAAGAAAAAAAGTCGATTATAAAGTGAGTTGGTACACTGCGCAGCAAATTAATTTTAGGTGCTGCACATATGGCATCTCTCTCGTATGTACACTGCGCAGAAACTTAATTTCAGGTTCTGGGCATGTGGAATCTCTTTGTTGTTGTCATCCATGACTGTAAACAACTTCAATTTCGACAGTTCGGAGTTGCAAGCAGACATATTGGATACTATCATTAAACCGCGAAGTAAAATAAACCTACCATGGCAAAACGAGAGTAAAACACACATACAGATTGCGATAGGTTATGTTGACATTTTTCAATGCGCAGACGCTCTACGTCATGTTCTACGGCCACTAGATTTCCGAGAGCTACACCATCCTTGACGATTGGCCTCATACGAATACGTGTAACATTTAACATAGTTGAACCTCCTATATCTAGTCTTTGTGAGTTGATATAACAATTGTCGAATTCGCGTACATCTTGGATTCTACGCTCTGATTGGCTGGTTCAAAAGTCTTGCATTCTGATTGCTTGAAAAAGGCTTCGAGCGCGGCGTTGCCGAGTTGTGCAAAACGTCTTTGTTAAACTGATGATAGGATGCATTATAAAAAATGGTTCAACACCATATATTGATACATCATTGTAGCAATAGTTATTTATGAATCTAGGTCGTGTAAGGGCGTTTATAGCCAGATGAAACTTGGGCCAAAGTGGACAAAGCGTCGCAAGCTCTAAGGCTGTTCTCACGAAAAGCAATTTGACGGTACATAACTCGACTTCAATCCATTTCGACTTTGGTTGCATTGCTGTTCCGTTCTCACCGAAAGCAACAGGCAGTCTCCTTTTCAGGTGGTGGAAAAGTCAAATATATTGACGCGGAATACAGACTATGTTTATTCTTAAGAGCCTGTATTAAAATATGACGTCAAGTAAGTTGACTATGTACTTTCCATGTAACGTCATCAGCTCGTAAAGGATTATGTTTGGCACAGGCTAGCCCTTCTAAGAAAGAAGTTAGCTACGAGCATATGACGTGAATTCAGATATGCCCTCCTTCCTGCAACTCGTAACTCCCAATTTTTAAGTACAAAATTTTTTCCGAAAAAGAACAAGTACGTCTGAAACGTCCAAAACATTGAGTTCCAGCGATTTCTATTTTTTTCGTTTTTGGCCTTTTTCTCCGCCGGGATTGGTCCAATTTTTAAAAACTGCAAAGCTTTTACGTCCTTGGCATAGTAGTTACATTGTGTAATTTTATCGAAATCTTAGCGGTACTTCTTAAGTTATAGGCGGTTATAAGATTAGCGAAGGACAGACAGAAAGACCGAAAGAAATGAGTGACATAATTTTTCGTGATGTACATGTCATACAATATCAAAAAACATACTGTCTCAGTTTACAAAATTTTTGCCAGTAGGCGTGGGAAGTAAAAAATCGTATAAGCAACGTATTTGACAAAATATAGCCAGATCGTCGCTTAAATTCTATCATCGCGTAATACAAAACTGACTTTGTAGGAGAGCAAAAAGATTTTCTTAATGACAATGCATATCTTATAATCCTCCTTATTTGTCTAACCGCTTAGTGAAACAACATATCCTTGAAATAGTGTTTACTGACGTTTCGGCCACTGCCTTCTTCAAGAACATGCCAAGTTCGCATTTACAGTTGACCCTTGAAGGTTGGATGCCGATTGAGGGGTGGTCGGCCCTTGGACGTTGAACGAATAATAATAGTGCACCCTCCTCAAGAGAATATGTAAGATTCTCATTTCGCAGTAGGCTGTAACTGGTTATGTGTTTCAAAATTTTCAAGATTTACATCAAAAATTGGTTGGCATGACCGCTCTTTCATTTCTAGGATGCCAAAAATATTTAAGAGTTTTTCAAAAGAAAACTTTACAAATCTTATTCCTCTTTACCACATCAAAACTCTTATCGATAACTTCTATATTTAGGATCTGCCTCTGCCTACTCACCAACATGATAGAGATCCTCCTGCCCCTAAGTTTATACTTAAAAATCTTCTCTTTTTTCTTCTTAAACCTAATCAAAGTCACGTTAGTTTCACGTACAGTTTTTTTCTTAAACAACTTGCACAAAAACTTATACATTTTGTTCGCGGAATCATATGATTTTCCTCGCGGTAACAGCGAATAATGTAAATTTTTGATAACCCACTTGTCGGCGTATCGGCGAACTTGACTTTATTCACGAAAACATGTTTACTGCGCTTGTAGATCGCGTAGACTCCGGCGTTTTACAATAATTTTTAGGAGAAACAACGCGCGTCGCGAGCGGCGAAGACTATGGCACCGTGACGTGCCGCGTGAAAAGTTTAAATTGCTAGTTCGGTGAAGTTAGGTTCATTTGACAACATCAATCATGAATTAAATTAAATTACATAGAAATTGATAGCGTTCATTCTTCAGAAGAAGACTGAAGGACTCAATTAATTCAGGCGTGCTTCAAGGCTCTGAGTTACCGCCGTTACTATTTCTGATATATACTTAGACTAGACAAAATCACTGATAATTCACACATCTAATGTTGCGCAGACGACACCCAATTGTAGCAATATTTTAAGCCTATCTGCAAACGAATATATACTAAATTTCAAGTTACGTAAAAAATTATTTGAATCCTGGCCATATCCGTTCTAAATTATTGTGACATAGTATACTAACCATGCTTGGTCAACTATACCAAAAACCTAATCCAAATCATTCAAAATAATTGTGTTCAGTGTAGTCATCCATAAATTATTAATTACGTCTAAGCCGCCTTATTTGCGAAAAAAAATTAATTTCATTCTAGACCACTTAGAGATAACATTATCAGCATACCTCAATATTCAACAACCCTGTTTCAACGAAGTTTCTCCTACAATGTTGCCACCACATGTAATTCAGTACCAAAATTGTATAAATAATACCGAGTACCAGCTTTGCGACAAAAAGTGAAGTCATCATTATTTCAGTGACTATTACACAGTCATGCTTTTCTTTCAATTTTCTAATAATCTTTTTTGGTTTTCAATGTTTGGGTGTATTTTGCTTGGGCAGTGTGCTTGTTTTCGCTTTACTTTACTAACTTATTACTAAAATCATTTTAAAATAAACTAATCTTAAAATACTCTTCGGGATCTTCGAAAACAAGGCTTAAACTTTAATTTAGATACTTGGTATCATCAAAACTTGTGTATTTAATCCAGTTTTTAAACATTGAATATACCAATTTTTAAGGTTTTTCAGACATTCCATCGCTCGTAATTCGAAAATGGTTCGCTTTTAAAAAAAGTTAATGAAAGCCTTTTGTACTTTATATATCAAATTGTTAAATTATTTTGATCTGGGTTACTGTGCAGGTTTATTCAATGCTCAAAAACCCGGTTAAAAATTATAATTTTTGAGGTCGCCAAGTATCTAAATTAAAGTTAAAACCTTGCTCTTCAAGACCTTGGAGAGTATTTGGAGATTAGTTTATTTTAAACCGATTTCAACTTTGTCTTTCAGGCCAAAATTGGAGAATTTTTGGTTTCGCAGTACTGCCAGTTGGCAAGGTAAAAGATGGCTTTAAAATAAACTAATACTGAAACGGTTTATAAATAATTTCTTGATATAATATGGAGATCAGAGGTTCTTCTTGCACAAATCGTATAATTTTTGGGTTCTTTGAGGGACGTTTTATTCTATTTGAGAAAATACTAATGTCGGGCCATTTCTAGACGTTCTTAAGGATTGAGTTCCGTTTGCTCATTTGAAATATTTTGAATGTTTTCATGATATTCAAAATTTTCCTTATTTTCAGCACGTTCAAAATCCCGGAAGTTTTGGTAATTTTGAAAATATCGAAAATCGTGCAAACTTCGATAATTTTCTAAATTTTGAAAGCGACACTTACTGCTTTTAGACTATATCTTCACTCTTGCTTCAGTACAAAAGATTCTTTGAAGTCTAACTTTACCGAACTAATATGGCTCGTGGTTACGCATAACTTATTGCTATATAATTATTCATTAAAAACTTTTTTCGCGTAAAATTGATGATACTAAATTGTAGTCTTTTAATTTTATTGTCGAAATGTGGTAGTTACAATACTCTACGATTTTTTCTACTCGACCTTTAAAAATAATCGACTAGATATGGAAATACGTTAAGAATTTAGTTCAAGATCGAATACAATTGGATTCTAATCTAAGGATTCAGAAGTGGGGTGAAACTAGTTCATTTTCATTGTTATCTAGAACGGTGTCTTCGTTCTTGATGATCATGCACCGCATAATGGGATTGAACGAGGAATTTTTAATAGATTTCGAATATTTTTTGAATATTCGTAAAACACCGCATGGTTAAGCAGAGGACAATAAATTTAGGCAATCTAAAAGCCTGATAGAAGGTTCAACAGTACTCAAACATTTCTATATATTACCTGATTGCTAAGTTAATTACGCAAACGTTTAATCGTCGGATTTTAAATTAAGTTAGGCATACTAACAGTATCATTTTGGATTAAAATGTGTGATAGTATAGTATATTTTCAGAACTTCATTTATTCAATAATCTCTCTAATGTACCCAACTAACTTGCAATGTCTGTTGTTTCAGATACACCGAATCTTTCCTTTGGTTTTTGAAGTTGAAAATGGCGACAAATAGGTTGACTCTTCATTTGAAACTCTGAGAAAAAGTTAGTTTACGAAAATGTATAATAGAGAAATTAAACGGATCAAGTCAGTCAAACAGGCCTATACAATTAGTCCATAGACATTCTTTCCCTGTACTACCGGTAGCACGACGCGTCAGACGAGGCTGTAATGCCAAGACACTTATCAAGACCGGCACAGCGCCGGTGAACCCAGAGAGCAGAAGCTGGGACAAGTATCGAAAACATTTCTCTATCTATGATGTGTGAAATATGTCTATAGGTGCGTAGAATTACCGGAGATGGGAGCGTGTAAATACACACTAACGTCAGAACATTGGGATATATCCTCCTACTCCGCAACTGCCAACTCCCAATTTTAAGCAAAAATTTTTCTGAAAAAGACCAGGAGTCTATAAAATGACAAAAAACGAAGTTTGAGCGATTTGTTATTTTTTTGCCACGTAGCTCCACCGCCACTAGACCGTTTTTAAAAACTACAAAGCTCCCAAGTTATAAATGGGCCAAGGATTACCGGACAAATCGACAGACAGACTGACCGACGGTGATTAGAGACATGGTGTTTTGTGATGTACATGTCATACGAGTATAACATCCAAAAAACGTAGTATCTTGAAGTTTTTCAATACTTTCTCGCCAGTAGGTGTGGGAACTGGAAATGTAGCCATTTAAAACCAAAATGATTACGAGAAGGCATTCCACTGCAATTCTATTAATGCCAACTTTAACAAAAGCAGTATAAAATGTCTTCGAAATTTGATTTCAAAAGCTTCTGTACCTATGATACCATGATCATATGTTGATTACTGCTGATTTGTTATCAAAAATCCTACATACATTTTGTTAAAAAATCCATATCAAATTTGCACGAACTGCCTTGGTATTGTTTTTACCTTACAATTATGTAAATGACAATTATAATGCCAGTTTATAACTATAATCTTTGTTCTTATCTTCAAGTAAAAACAGCAGAGAATAAAATGTATTTGCTGTACAGTATGACTCAAATATTCAATTGGTTGGCATATTGTATGTTTGAGTTGTGGCACCTACTTGGAGAAACCCTATTTTACGAACGTCAATAGATTGTGTCCTTGAAGTTGTGACTTTACATAGTGTTTAGGTCACGCAATGATAAGCAAGTTTTCCTAGTAACACATATACCAAAGCCCTAAGACCGATTTATTAAGTTCCTAAGAACTCTCCCCTCCTATGTGAAAGGCTATGATGTTTTGAGGTACTATGACTATTTGAGTGAGTATCCAAATCAGGCGCCGCGTGGTGTGTAAGTGAACCTAGTTGCAATAGCCGATTGGCTGAACACATTTGAAGACCTAGACAGCCCCAAATGTTTCAAATTTAGGAGAAAGTAAACAAACTCGTGTTTTTGAATCCAACAGCGCAAACAAAACGTGACAATATTTTTTCTAACAACTTCTTTTGACGTTTTCGGTGCCAATTTACTGCGAATTAACTTTCAAACGTAGTAGTTTTCGAAAAGGTAACTTCCAAGTTATCAAATTAGGCAGCAAAAAGCCCACAGGCATTCGCGAACTAAAGGAAGGAATTCAGTACTGCATCATAGAAATTCAGCCACATTTGTGCAAAATAGGAATGGTAAAATTCGGCAAAAGAACATAATATGCCAACATAGCCGAGATGTGCTATTCCATACTAGGGATGCACCGAGTACTACTTTTTCAAAAAGGCCGAGTAGACTGTTGAATAGAGAATGGTACCAGCAATCATATCAGGAAGGTTTCGGAAAAGCGTATGAGCTCAGATTTTGCATAGCAGATGCAATTCTTCGATTTACACAAGTTGCGTGTCTTGCGTTCACACCGAGTAATGACTTGGCCAAGTAATTTAACAGTCGGCCAAATCGGATACTCGGTAAAATTGGCCGTGATGCTGAGTACCGGGTACATACCGAGTACTCGATGCATCCCTATTCTGTACACACCCGCACCCTGCATACTTTTTAATTCAATAAAACACTATTTAATAAAAAAAAGGTTTTGTATTTAAGTCAACCTTATGTGAATTTTGGGACACACATTTTACTTTTTAGGCCAATATCATTTCACTTGCCCTGGAAACAACGTTTTATATAAAATGCAAATGTGTTTTGGACAGAGTTCAAGTTCAACCATATGGATCGACCTGGAAAGCTTTTATGAACTAAGCTGTATTTAAATTGCACTGCGCTCCACAATTCAACGAACATGACAAGTCAACCGTAAAAGCTAATATTTACTGAAGATATACAGGGTGATTCAATTTTTAACCTCGATGTTACTAATAATTTATTAAACTGAATCAGGCTTAAGAATCAGTAATTATTATTATTTAGTGCGGTTGCTAATCACTGACCATAGACTGCGATTAATAGTTTTATAAAACATTTTATTGTTCTTTCGTAATTTACTAACATTCATAACCGACAAAAAAACACCAAGGTTAATCAAGAAAAGTCAGTCCTAACAAGAGCTAACAACGGCGGAACTGGACTAAATCATTCTTTATGGTACTTTGATCCACGATTCCGAGACTGGCCTCCAAATCGATTCCTTTGATTCGTACACGATTCTCGAAATCGATTCATTCGATTCCAGTCTCATTCATAATTC